ACTAAAAAAATTAAAAAGTTAGAGGTGTGAGCTACTTTTGAGACTCACCCGGAATAGAATATTATTTATTATATTCCAATAAGGCAAAATAAAAGCAGTAGGGAATACATATTAAGATATAAAAATTAAAAATTACGAAAACTAATTAAAGAATCAGAATTCGCAAGTTCATTTGTGAATTTTACTTAATTCGAGAAGATCATTTTATATTCATAAGATAATTTTTTCTTGCTGAGCAAATTATAAAATTGAATAGTAAATTAGGAATCATCTGTGGTTTGTATAAAATATCATTTATTAATATAGATAACAAATATAGACAATTAACAAATGAGACACCGAAATGGGTACTACTGAATATCAAGTGAACTATAAAGTAGTTGGAATGTAGAATGTATAATGGTATAGGAGGGAGATTAATCGCCGCGATCTTACAAATTTATTGTATCCTTCTTTTTTGAGTTATAACTCATCATACATTTTTAGGGCTTTGATAAAACCTATTATCTGGAACGATTTTACAGAGACCAGTTCTCTATCTCCAATATCAGTCGTACCAAAGTTTATAGTAGGAATTGTTGTCGTCTCGGCGCACTCAGCGATGATGTGTTCTAGTGTTTCCCCATTTGTCCCCCAGAATCTACATTCGCCGTTGTTTTTTAGCTTCAATCTACTCAGAAGTTGAGGTCTTACTTAAATCTAGGAAATTTTTTGATTTTTCTCGGTCGTATGTTTTATAAAGTAGTTATTAGCATTTAACAAAAATTACACTGCGTTAAAATTTATTTTATATTTTTGCTTTAAGTCAACATTAATTAGGGTATATTTTTAAATCACCTTAAATTAAAAATAATTAATAATAAAACACACAAAGAACAAACATTTTATATGTTTTTTCATGAGTTAAATCATCAAGAAATACAAATAGAGCAAAAGTATTGAAGTGTTATAGAAAGCAATATTTTTATTTATATAGAGTAACGTTTTTAAAGTATTTTTTTTTTTTAATTTTCTTGATAGAATTTTCTGCAATACTTACAAATATTGCGTACTTGCACGAAAATAAATAACAATAACATAGATGTAATATAATTAGATTTAGATAAAAGCAAAATTTGGAAAGTATGTTTGATCTACTTTCGTTATAAATAATTTTTTAAAGATGAATATGATATGAAGAAAAATATAGATAATAATTTCAAATAGCGGTTATTGTTTTGTTTTCATACTCAATATATATTAGATATAATTTCAAAGTCCTAATATCAGTATCAGTAAAACCAATCTATTTTTACTATGTAATTTATTAATAGTATTAATCCTGTAATAATGTATTAAAGGATTAATTCTGTATAGTCATCTCAACTAAAGGATAAAATTGCAATTTAAATTAATGTTCACTTAAATAAATATACCCACCTTCAGATTCCAATCTCATATTACTATTTTTGACCTTTTAAATGTATAAAGTAGATTACTAATGCATGTAATCGGATTTCCATTCAACGCTTTAGCTTTAGCATGAGAGCAGATTTGGATTTTTGCATTTTACCTTTTTTATACTACTGAGCGATTCGCAGTTTTTTAATTAGTTTTATCTTGTCTTTTTCATCTCGTGTTACAGGCACATTAGTCTCTTTTGAATATATTGTTCATACAAATCATTGGATCAGATAACCAATCTCACAAGTGTAAAACATTACTCGTTAATAAGTGTTAATTTGCGATACATACAGAAAATGACTAAAGCGCCATACTTAATTTAAAATTCTATCCGATTACTATGTGCTGATGCGTCGATGCCATTCGTTATGTTGTTTGTAAATTTTTCTATTGCGTTTGTGATATTTTTTTATGTTTACTCAACCTCACTCAAACATTCAAACGATCCACCGCACAACTCATCGCATTGTAGCATCAAATCGCCCCATCAACTAATGTGACTATTGTGACTATAGTATTACGAGACGTATTGACGAACTGCATAGCCATAAATTGTTTTTGCTCAGGTATCTCCTGAGACGGTACTGAAGATAACAATTTTATTTTATGCCTAAATTTGGCCATTATTACTAAAAATATACTCCAAAGCTTGAAGTAAGTCGGTCACAGGATATTTAAGATAATTCCAAAAAAAAACAAAAGTCAAAACGTTGTTTAGAAGTTAAACGACCTCTATCTTTAAAATAGGCTCAATTAAAATAAAAAACAGCCCACAGCTAATGGTCATATTTTATGAAACAGCCTGTATAAATTTATAAAAAATCTTAAAATATGTAAAACAACAAAATAAAATATACGTGTTTAAGAGTTTTTCCGAAAAACTCACCGGTTTTTAAATAGAAAATATTTTAATATTTGAGGGATAGTTTCACACCCTTATAATTCGAGTTTCGAAAAATCCCTTCTTATCGAACCTCTACACCCTAAAGTCAATCTGTTTTCCCAAAATCAGCTTTTTACGCCAAGCGCTTTAAGCAGGTTCGTGATTAATCAGTGACAAGATTTTTCGAAACACCCTGTATACATTTTTAAAAAATCTTAAAATATGTAAAAAAACAAAATAAAATATACGTGTATAAGCGTTTTTTCGGAAACTTGACCGTTCTTTGAGGGGTGGTTTCATCCTCTTGGAACTGGAATTTCGAAATATCCCCTCTTATCGAACCTCTACACCCTAGAACCAACCTGTATTTATGTATAAAATTGAGTTTCTTACGTTGAGTGGTTTGAGCAGGATCGTGATTAATCAGTATGTCAGTCACTAAAGGATTTTATATATTAGTATAGATAAAAAAAGTTAACATAAAACTGATGCACAAACTGTACAAACTATACAAAAATTTGAAATTCCTCTTCTAGGAAAAAATATACCGAGCCTGTTTTAAAATGTCAAATTATCTTGGGATTTCAAAATGGTGCGTTAATTTTTTGGAGAAATGTATTTACCTAGTACAGCCTCTCAAATAGTATTATTCAAATTCGGCTATAAATAGTAGCTCCTGTGTTAAAAACTAATGACACGTACATAGAAATGGTGGACTATGGCTCTGTAGAGGATATGTAGAATGTAGAATGTTTAGGAGGGGGGTTAATCACCGCGACATTACATATCTACTGTGTGCCTCTTTCTTGAGTTATAACGAGTTACAACTCATCGGACAGTCTCAGGGTTTTGACAAAAGCTAGTATCTGAGACAGCTTCACAAAGGCCAGCTTTCTGTCCTCGACATCAGCCGTGTCAAAATTCATGGCACGAACGGTCGTCCGTCGTGTCGGCACACTCAGTGATAAGGTATTCTGGTGTTTCCCCATTTCCACCACAGAATCTGCATTCGCCGTTGTTTCTCAATTTCAATCTGCTAAGTTGTTCGTTGAGGAGACAGTGTCCTGTTAGAAACCCTGTGACAATCCGAAGATTTTTCTTACTTAAATCAAGGAAAATCTTTGATTCTCTTCGGTCGTAAGTTCTGAGCAACTTTTTTGAGTGATTAGACCGTTGGAGAATTCCCTTTCCAGGTTACGGATGGAGTCCTCCAGGTTCTTCAGTTCCGCTTTAAGCTGGTTTCCGCTTAGATAAAGATACAGGATTGGATTAGATAGAGGGTTGTAAAAAAATGAAGGAATGTCATTTTTATTATCAACAATAACTATATCACTAATTTGAACAAAAAATATCAATAAATATAAATTAAAAACTTTCCCACCTTAATTGTCTTTATTACTATCGGTATTCTAGCAAATTTAATACAATAAATATTCTCTTAAATGCAGCAATCGTCTATATGACTTCGGGGTTGGACTCGAGAACTAGACGCCACAAAGTAATTTCAGGAACAGTGCAAAGCGAGTTAAAAACAATCCGAAAGAATTGCGTTAAACCCGCGCACTTATTTACATAGCCCTTTGAAGCATTTAGTAGTGAATAATAGCAAAGTGCTTAGCTTTAAAGCGGAATTTCAATTCTGTTTTACATCGACTTTTCTTTCAGTACTTTCTACGAAATGGAATTTTTCTCGTTTTAGTTTCGCGAAGTTCAAAGGTGAATTTATACTTATCGCAAGTGCCAAGATACGCTAACAAAAAATTTCTTTTAAAAATTTATACATATGATATTTTTAACAACGTAGGTTCCCCTATGATGATCATGGCATATATTTCTATATTTTTATTATTTTTAAAGTTTTCTAAAACTAATAAAATAGGTACAATTTTAAGTAAAAAAATATCCTCATACTGGGTGCGTCTCAAAAGTGGCTCACCCCTATAACTTTTATTTTTTACTTAAAAAACGAGATTTGGTATGTTAATATATGACTGTTGTCACTTCCTGTTTCACCGGAAATGACTACAACTTTTGATTTTTAAATGGCACCCTCTGTATTTTTTTACTTTATTTGATAGAAAATAACACTCTGAATAGAATGACATATAGTATGTCAACTTTTGACATTTTCGCATATGGTTTATTTGAAATTATAATTTGCGGTTCGTAACGAAAATTTGATTCGAAATACCAAGTGTGTGGTATCAAATTATTCGTAAAAAAATACTTTTTCCAAATATGCTAATGAACCACCCTCGTTCCATTTGAAAAAATTGAGATATTATTAAAAATACGATTTGAGCATCATTCGAAACTGGTCAGGATAAGACATTAAAAACATTAGATGGTCAAATATATTTTTTCAAAGCTCCTTGATTAAGAATTAGTGTTTTTAAAATAGCTATGGCACTCTAGATTGAATTTTAAAATACGATTTTTTATTAAGCGAAAATGTCAAAGTTAGGAAGCGACCGAAAACAATTGAATACGTCAATCAATCTTAATTTATGTCATATACTATCATACCAAATCTCGTTGTTTTAACTGAAAAAATAAAAAGTTATAGGGGTGAGCCAGTTTTGAGCGCTCCCGGTTTGTATGTAACAAAATGGAACAATTTAAAAAAAATATATTTATTTTCTTATTAATTTTGACAATTTATAATTTGTTACAGGTTGAGATGTTGTACCAAAGATATTTTCTGAAAATGAACCAAAGCAATATGACAAATTTGATATCGCTACTTCTGTTACTATGCATCGGTTTCCTGTTGCTGGGGGCTGTAGATTTTATTCTTCCGAAAGCCGAAGTAGCTCACTCTATATTTGAAGACTCGAGTCGAATGGACAAGCTGGTCGTACTTATGTGCACATCAGCATGCTGTATAGCTATTTATGGCGGTAAGTATCTTACTTGAAATATTAACGAGTGAAGTTATATTTTTTTAAAGATTACGATTTTTTATGTAACATCAGCAATCAAAATAATGCAATAAAAAAAAGAGGTTTTGTTTGAAAAATAATATAATGTTTACATTTCCAAAATTTCAGAAATTTCAATATGGTAAACTACTAAAAATTAATAAGAAAAAATTATTGTAAAAATGTAGTCATTTACAGAACTCACTATATCACAAGAATCGATATATCAGATTTTATGTTTCAAAGTTAGAACCTATAAACTCTTCCATCTTGCAAATTCAATTATTGGCAGCTCATGAAAATGTAGCTTCATCTCCCAAAATGATTTGGGTTCTGAGATATACAGGGTGGTCCGAACTGTATTCCGAAAACTTCGGCAGCAGATTCTGCAGATAAAAATAAGTAAAAAAGCTTCTATAAATGTATGTCCTAAAATGCTTAGTTTCGGAGATACAGGATGTAGAAGTTTCATTTTTATTTCGATTTTTTCCAAATAATTTTTGAAGAACGTCAATATTTGGATGAAAATGGGTGTCTAGGAGTTTCTTAACATGAGAAATTTGATTTTGATGTCAATATGACTCCTATTTGTAGAGGGCGCTACCTACATGTGTTTTAACTGTTGTGAAGGGTAATAACTTTTTGTCCGTACCTGTATAAAACTACCGAGGGAAAAAATATACATCTCTATGACTTTTTACGTAAAAATATCTCTTTGTAAAATAGCTACGAGCAACCGTTTTTAGTTTTTAAATATATAGGGTGGTCCAAATTGTTTCGGGAAACTTCGGCAGCATATTCTATAAAATGCTTCGTTTCGGAGATACAGGGTGTAGAAGTTTCATTTTTAATTCAGTTTTTACCAACAAATTTCTGAACTATAGTCGATATTTGGAGAAAAATTGGTGCTTGAGTGTTTTTTAATATGAGAAATTTGCTATCGATGTTATTTATTACTACCTGTTGGGGGCGCCACCTACATGTGTTTTGAAGAGTAATAACTTTTCTTCCGTACCTGTATAAAACTACTAAGAAATGTCTCTTTGTAGAAAGCGCTAAAAGCAACTGTTCTCAAGATATTTAGAATGGAAATAGTCAATACATGTCATTATTGACGAAAAATAAACACGTTGAGTAGATAGTTATTTCACTGAAATAATAAATTTGGAAAATTTTTATTTTTTTAAATTAATGATAATTTTTTCTGCAAAAAAATGATGATAAAACAGTTTCTGTTGCACTTTTGATACAAAAACTTTCAAATTTATGATCTCAGTCTAATAACTATTTAGTCATCATATTTAATTTATGTCAATGATGACAGGTATTCATAATTTCGATTCCCAATATCTCGAAAACCAATACTCGTAGAAATTTTTGCCAAGAGATATTTTTTATGTAAAAAACGTCGTAAATGTATATTTTTTTACTCAGTACTTTTATACAGGTACAGACGAAAAGTTATTACTCTTCAAACAAGTTTAAAAATATGTAGGTGGCGCCCTCTACTAGTAGAAGTCATATTGACATCAAAATCAAATTTCTCATGTCAAATAACTCCCAGACACCAATTTTCATCCAAATATTGACGTTACTGCAGAAATTATTTCGAAAATATCGAAATAAAAATGAAACTTCTACACCCTGTATCTCCGAAACTAAGCACTTTAAGACATACATTTATACGGACATTTTTACTTATTTTTATCTCCAGAGTATGCTGCCGAAGTTTCCGGAATACAGTTCGGACCACCCTGTATATATTCATAATTAGTGAAATGACCTCATCAATAGAAAGTGGTCCAGGTATATGAGTCAATAATAATAATTAAATAGTGTACTTTTTTTTTCTAAATTATATTCTGCCTTTTTTAACTTTATTTGACGTATTCAATTCTTTTCATCAGCTCCTGTTTCACCGGAGATGACAAATTTTGATTTTTAAATGACACCCTCGGTATTTTCAAATAACATTTTGAATAGAATGACATACTATATATGAACTTTTGAAATTTTCAATTAAAAAAAATAGCATTTTAAATTTCAATTCAGAGTGCCAAGGCCAAATGTAAGACAATTTGGTTGCTATGCTAATGAGCCACCCCTGTTCTCTTTGGTAAAATTTAGTTATGATTAAAAATACGATTTCAGTAACTTTTAACCGGCTAGGAAAAGACACTAAAAATATTAGACGATCAAATATTTTAGCCAAGGCTCCTTGATTAAAAATTAGTATTTTTAACACAAGCGAGAATGTCAATATTTGACATATGATATGCCGTTCTATTCAGAGTGTCATTTTCTACTGAATAAAGTAAAAAACTACAGGGGGTGCCATTTAAAAATAAAAACTTGTAGTCATTTCCGGTGAAACAGGAAGTGATAGAAAACAAATTGAATACGTCAATCAATCCTGATTTATGTCATACACTAACGTACCAAATCTCGTTTATTTATCTGAAAAAATAAAAAATTTATAGGGATGAGCCACTTTTGAGAAAAAACTCTGTATAGCAAACAAGTACAGGGAGACCTGTATTTGCTTACTATATTATTATATATTAATAGAAATTAATTCACATTTGGTATTTGTAATTATCTTAAATTAATTAAACACGAAGTAATAAAACGATAGTCAGCAAATTTATATATCCAAAAAGGTTATAATTAATTTGTTATTTTATTTTCAGTTTTACTCACAGTGGTGTCAAAGCCTGCGATGAATGAAGTTTACCTGATCATTATATCTTATTTCATATTAGTGACTTTTTTAACTTTAGAGGTAAGTCTCTCTTCTTTATTTTTTTGATAATACCTCGCGATAAATTAGTATCTATATATTTAATTATTTCGGTTTTAAATTCATTTGAAATAGTGATAACATTTTTTTTTCTTATATTCTAATATTTCTAATATTCTTTTTTTTTTTAAGTAAACTTCTGTGGTAGTGTCAAATCGCTGAGTTAAGAATCCTAATTCAAAAGCTTTAAGAGTCACAAAGGGTGGAATTCTTATTTTAGTACACTGAAAAGATTAGTATCGTATCTTACGATAGAATAATTTGATAAAAAAAATATATCTAATAAAATCTCACTCAAGTGCTTTTTAAATGAGTTTGTATTTAAGTGTTATATTTTTGTACATGTTGTTCCATTTTTGTGTGTTTCTTTTTCGTGAGAGTTTGTCGTTTACGAGTAAAGATACAAAGGTGTGGTTTTCACATCACTCTGTTACTGTTTTATGGAACTAAAGATGCCACACATAGATTTGTCCCTCTTACTCTCTGAAATACAGTTTAACACATATTTCGAAAATAGCTCCCAGCGAAAAACTAGTTACGCCTCGGAAGTTTTTACCTTTTCAATCAGTTATATGAAGGTGTCGAAATACAAAGAGTGTCAAAAAATGCAAATTTTTCAAATTCGCCCTGTATTTCAGGAACTAAGAGGGCTAGGATAAATATATGTGTAGCATCTTTAAATTCGTAAAAAAGTAGCACAATGATGTAAAAACGGCATCTTTGTATCTTTACTCATAAACGAGAAACCCTGTAAAACACACGAAAATGGGACACCCTGTACAAAATGTTTCTATCTCTATAAAATCTGCGAGACCATTGATATCATCGAAAATTCAAATCATAATAAACAGTAACATCTGACTTTACATTTTGATGAAAGAATAATTCTCGGAGTCCAATTTGTGCTCTAAATTCAGTTTATATCGTGTCATGCAAAACACTGCCACATGTAAGTTTTATCCGATCGTAATTATTCACCCATTCAATCGGCTTTTACTTAATACAAACCAAACTACACATCTGCATTTCAAACACTACACTGGAGTAAATTGTTGATTAGAAACTGTGTATTTAGTTAGAAGGTGTGTGCACCGGCCTCCATCAGTATTCATAGCGAATTAAACGCAAAACATAGCAAATAATCTTCTTTCGTAAAACTCTCGCCCAAAGCTTTAAACTCTTCCGTTATAGTTTCGTAGCTTTTATCTCGATTTGCAAAAACAAATGCATCGTTGCCATTCAAAATAATTCTATTTTCGTTGTATATTTACGCCACTACGGTTGCAATTTTAATGCTACATTTTTTTACAGTTCAAACTGGATGTTTATATTTATTTTAAACAATAGCGGAAAGTTTTACGTATGATTTAAAAGCGAGCAAATTCCGCCTAGTGTTATGAAACTTTTAGAAAAAATAATACATGTAAACTTTGTTTAAAAGCTTCAAAAAAAGTTATAGAATTTTATGCAGGATCTAAAAATAAAATAAAAAATAGGATGTTCACCCTGTATACATTTATCCTGAATACATTTATTTACCAATGGATATTGATTTCGGATTTAATTATATAAATAATAATCATAGAAAATAAAATTTGAAGATCTAATCAAGGACGATGCTTCTTCTAATCTAATCAAGGACGATGCATCTAATCAGACTATCTTCAAATAATCAAAATTATAGTTTTTCCAAAAACTATATAGATAACCAAAACTAAATACTTTGAATTCTTTACGCGCATTTCGCTAATTTTCTTACCATTATCAATAAATGATTGAAAAAAAAAATGGGGTCACATACCTGACAATTGCTAGAACTAACTAGATAGTTAATAGTAATTTAAAGACGGCTTCTTCTAAAAGAGTTAAATTAAAAGAGTTAATTTAAAAAAAGGTTTAAATTAAAAAGAAGTAGAAAGTACATTTTGAGTACTGGAGTAGACTTTGAGTCTTTTTTCTACTTCTTTTTAGTTAATAGTAATTGTTGATCTAGAACATAATACAAATGTTATATGGAATATTGTCTAGCCTTAACTTAGAAAGTGCATGATCATAAAAATAATATAATATATTTATTTTTTAGGTTTGCATAGCTTTTTTCTTCTACAACGAGAGACCACTAGTTGGTACCGCCTTTGCGGTGACGTCAACCTATTTGACGTATGCGCTGATGCCAAACCGTCTGAAAGATGCCGTGCTCTCCGGAACAATATTAGCCATAACTGAACTGATCTTATTAGTGTATGTAGGAAATCTGACAAGTTTTTCAGATGTAAGTAGCAAATTATTAAGGATTTTTTTTTGGGGGAAAAATTAAATATTTTGTTTATCTAGGGTTTAAAAAAACTGCCGACATTTTGACTTGTATTCTCGACTTTTTCAAGACTATTTAAGGCCACAAAGACGAGGATACACATCGAAAGGCTTTTTAAAAAAGCTTTTATATTTCCTGATCCTAAACCTGCGATCGCCATTTCATAATATAACATAAGGACGCAAATCTAACACAATATTATATTGACATTTTAGCTAATAACTTTTTTACAATATGTTGGTAAAGCGAAAGGTTCTAACCTCACTAACACATATTCTTAAATGAATTTATTCCATAATTAACAATATGACAATCAAAGTCAGACATATTATGATAAAAAAAAATGTAAAAAGAGAAAATATTATAAACCAAAAAACTACGATTTGCCTTCAATTTTGCGCTGCATTGCCTTTAAATTTAGCATAGAGGGTGATTCACACTGAGGTAGACTAGGCGTTTTTAGAGAACAGGTGATACTTTCTTTGAAAACTTCAAATTTTATATATAAGCACCTGCTACATCTATCTAAATAATTCTCAGCGACACAGTGTTGCTGTTTCATTTATTAATTATTATCATTTATTAAAAGTAATGACACCTTTATTTTTTAAGCGGAACATCTAGATTGTTATATTCTTGGAAACTTATTTATTTGCCATATTTTTTCTGTCATACAATCCTATACCCCTGTCTAATAGTTTTCGAGATAAAAAAATACAGCATGTGTAAAACTGACAGACTTATAGGTTAAGAAAAGTTTCGATATTGGATCTGTTTGAAGCAACCCATTGACACTGAAAACTATGAAAAGACTAATAAAGTTGATTTGCAATGATATATCATTTTCCTATACCTAAGCGTTCCGGTTTCTTCAGAAAAGCCATTTAAAAGATAATAATTTCTAATATATTCATACTCTATATCAGTGAGATTTTATTTGCTAAATTTACAAAAGTCATAACAAAATTCTTGAAATGAAACTAAAATTTTAGTATTTTTAGTTTTAAAAGGCTCTACTGAAGAAACTCGAAGGTTCAAATTTAGGTACATTACATACCGTTAAAAATAACTTTACATTCCTTTGATCTGTTTAAATAATATATTTAGAGTTCGATTTAAAATAAAGATGATTTGAGCAATTTCATCCTAAACGAAAAAGTAATATTTTTACCTAATTGTTATGACATGATGTTTGATTTAAAATAACAAAGATACTACTACTTTTCAAATAAAGCGACAACACCGCCCTGTTACTCTGAGAATATATTAGATTGGTGGAGCAGACGCCGCGCCGTTCCGTAAAATTTGAAAATTTTCCGTAAAAAATATCCTACCATCGATTCTCCATGATCAGCTAACCTATCTGCGACAGTAAATCGTAAATCACCTATTACTATATTCGCTTAACTTTAGCTAAACTAAATACACATAGTATAAACGTCCGCCGTATTCTTTAAAAAAATATTCATTCTTGTCATTTTTTCTTTCAGATAATCAGCAACTTTATAATACTGTTCTGTGCCAACTTGGCCGGGGTCTGCACGCATTATCCCAGAGAAGTAGCGCAAAGAAAAGCTTTCCTCGAAACGAGACAATGTATAGAAGCCAGACTGAAAATTCAACGGGAAAATCAACAGCAGGTTACATTTTTTATACGAATTTTTTTTAATTTTCCTATTTTAAAGCTCGGCACAACGGTCGGTCGGTCGTTCCGTTATTTTAGAGCTTTCCTTTTTTTATTTATTCTTTCAGTCTTTTCTCTTTGCGAAATATAATTAGACGATGTTTTCTTTGTGAAAATGCTACCTACCGACACGCCGCAAAGCAAAGAATAAATTTTTAAATTACCAACAGAGTATTCTCGGTTGACAATGCTTGCTTAATTTATGCTTTTAACATGGTCATTAGACTGTAATATTAAACGTATTTTTACAGTATGGCATTGAAACTTTTACAGAACTGAATAATGTTTGTAAAGAACAGGAGAAATTGGTTTTATTTATAAGGTGGTTGTTGTCGGAGTCTCGACTCACCGGAAATGACTACAACTTTTGATTTTTAAATGGCACCCTCGGTATTTTCTTACTTTATTCGATAGAAAATAACACTCAGAATAAAAACTTTTGACATTATCGCATATCGTTTATTTGAAATTATAACTTGCGGTTCGTAACGAAAATTTGACTCGAAATACTAAGTGTGCGGAATAAAATTATTCGTAAAAAAATGCTTTTTTCAAATATGCTAATGAGCTACCCTCGTTCCATTTGAAAAAATTGAGATATGATTAAAAATACGATTTCAGCATTTTCTAACTGGCCAGGACAAGACACTAAAAACATTAGACGATCAAATCTATTTTTCCAAGGCTCCTTGATTAAGAATTAGTGTTTTTAACATAGCAGTGACATTCTAGATCGAATTTTAAAATACGATTTTTTATTAAGCGAGAATGTCAAAAGTTGACATATGATATGTCATTCTATTCAGAATGTCATTTTCTATCAAATAAATTAAAAAAATACCGAGGGTGTCATTTAAAAATCAAAAGTTGTAATTTCCGGTAAAACAGGAAGTGACCAAAAAAATTGAATACGTCAATCAATCCTAATTTATGTCATATACTAACATACCAAATCTCGTTTTTTATCTGAAAAAATAAAAAAGTTATAGACGTTAGCCACTTTTGGTATTTTTATTATTTTATTTTCTTATTAATTTCTACTAATTATTATTACTTACGTTCTTTTTTTTACTAATTTTCAATTCTCAATTTTAGTACTTTTAACAGTTTTACACCACAATCACGAAAATACTGTGTGAATGAAAACACTGTGTAACAGATAGAAAAAAATATTTCTGCAATATTTCTACCGATAATAAAAAATAACATTCTGAAAATTATCTAAAAATAAATCGAAACGTCGATCTAAAATCACTTTTTAATTAAACCTGGCTCGGGAAACAAAAAAATATTAATGAAAATTTATAATTATCTTTGTTATTTTTCAGGATATTTTTTCGAATAACTAACAAAATTCAATAGATTCTCAAAAAATCCCTGTGCTAAAACTTTTATTGAAAAATAAAATTTACGCTATTGAAAATAAGACAAAAAAATCATCAGTTTAAACGCAAATATTACTGAAAAACAGAGAGAAGTTTTTGAAAGTTTTGAATTTGAATCAGAAATGTGAAATCTATTCACAATACGAAAAGTATGTAAAAATACGAAGTTGAATTCTCATGTAAAATTTATATGAAATATTCTACAGGTGGTTAAAAACTTTGAATTAATAAAATATTTTATTTTATGGGGGGGGGTGTCATCCCCCGATTTGTTTCAAATGGGAAGGGGGGTCAAGTGGTACCGCAATGAAAAGGGCTTTCTATTCTCTATACTTTCCTGATTCGTTTTTGAAGATCGGTCGAGTTGTTGGGAAAATATGAAGGATTGAAATTTGAAAAGTTTTTTAAACATTTATCAGAGTAATTGATAAGGATAAATTCCTTCGACCAACCTGCTGTTTTTTCTTATTATTTCTAGATGTTTGCAATCGGGTTGCGCAGATATTCAATGAACGCCATCCTGACAAACACCTTTATGGCAAAATTGTTCGCCAGTTAGTAGCAAAATTTCGCGAAACTGGTTCCGTTATGAATAAAAGGAGGCAGAGGGAAAATCCTGTAGTAAATGAAGCTATGGAGGTATTCGTATTGGACCAAGTTGCCATGGACAGTATTCTGAATACAAGAAAATTAGCCAATAAGACCGGCGGGAATAGTACCAAGTTTCCAAAGGATATTAAAAAACACAAGTTCCACACGAACAAAATTCAGTTGATACAAGAACTCAACGAAGACGATTTTGATCGTTGCTTGCAATTTTGTGAAGCTATGGGTGAACGAGTGGCGAATGATAATAATTTCCTATTTAATGTGTGTTTTTCGGATGAGTGTACTTTCTTTTTGAACGGTGTAGTTAATCGACACAACTGTCGGTACTGGGCTGAGGACAACCCCAGGGTTTTTCACGAGGTGCGCACACAAAAACCCTCAGAAATTGAACGTGTGGGCTGGTATTTTTGGAAATTCTATTGTGGGTCAGTTTAACGATATTGAGAAGAACTTCAACGTACAAGTCACAGAACAGCTATCTAGCAACTACCGCACCTGATCGTTCAACGTTGTGGCAAGTGAAAAAATGCGCAAACATCTAGAAATAATAAGAAAAAACAGCAAATTGGTCGAATTTATCCTTAATTATCATTTACTCTCATAAATGCTTAAATAAACTTTTCAAATTTCAATCCTTCATATTTTCTCAATGACTCGACCGATTTTCAAAAACGAAGCGGGGAAATATAGAGAATAGAAAGCTCTTTTTATTGCGGTGCCACTTAACCCCCCTTTCCATTTGAAAAAAGTTGGGGGATGACACCCCCGCTTAGAGGGTTGAATATTTTGCAATCATTTTTGGGGCAAAAGTTGTCCTCCTCACAAACAAAATTGACGTGTTTCTGGATTTTTTGAAAAAATAAATACCCTGGCCGTTATGCCTTGCGGAACGTTTTCGATGGGCCACCCTGTATATAATTCAAGTAAACTTGGTATTTAGTAATCTGGACCATCTATTTTTTTTTAATCAAAAAGTAACGAAATAAAAACCGTTTTTACTAGTGAAATAAAAAAGTGGGTTTCCATTTAAAAAAAATGATTTATGATAATTTCTTATTATATATTTCAATTCCATGACAGCTACGGCCAATATTATATGACATTCAAACAATTTAAATTTTGAAATAGATAGCCACATGTCTTCTCTTTATGTCACATTGGCTGTGGTAATCACTAAATTGGACGTTTAAACTATACAATTTTTTTTCACAGTTTGTTTCCTCCAAAAATGTTATTTTTTTTTCTCCAAAAACGGCTAATGTTAGGTATAGAGTTTTGATATCATAAGTCATAAGTCACATAAAATTTTACAGAGAATTTAAGTTTGTAAAAAAAAATATTTAAGGAGGTACCTATTTATAATATGAAAGTTGCTATCAACTTCCGGCCGCCATATTGAAAATATTTTTAATTGATAGATCTCATTGTGAAACAATGATGTGTAAAAAATCTGCGATCTAGATCTTCTAGCTCTCTAGAATCTTCTAATGCACGCTCAGCCTGGGACACCCTGTATATGTTTATTTTATAGAACGCCAAAAATCCACACTGGATGAAGAATTTTATTTCTTTACTACCTAACGAATGAAAATATTCAGATTAAAAATTACTGTACTTAAATCTAAACTAGTTCTCCTTTTAACAATACGAATATTTTCGAAAACGGCTATTTTGACACGCAGTTTCAAATAGCCTTTGATTAGAACTATATTTGGACTGTGTATAGTATTAAGCCTTAAACTATAATTATCGTACTGGCTTACAAAGAGCGTGGTGAAGGGTGGATGTTATGATTTGTAACGTGTTTGTTTTAGAACTCGTCAACATACGTATAATATGGCCTGGTTCTATTTTCGTTTGAGTTTGGAAATATCGTTTATTCCTTCCGTTCGGTTTTGAAAACTTTTCAACATAAAGCTCGCCACAGAATTTGAAATGTAGCTGTTAAAGTTAAGTAAAAATATAAGTCTAAATTGTGAAATACGTATTTGGAAAAATTACATAGTAGCTGATTTATTTTCTTTCGGACAATTTTTATTTACCTAATGGACAAAAACATTTATACCATATCGACAAGAGACAGACTTAGGTCGGTATTTACATGTCTAGAATCTAGAAGTGAATCGCTATGGCGATCTTGTAAATCGGAGAGAGGAAAATGTGAAATATTTATTACATAACCACTTAATCCGACGCTATATTTCATGCGCTTGGGAAATACTTACTGCTCTTTTTTGTGCAGTACATCTTATTGTACAGGGTGTCCCATTTTCGTGTTTTACAGGGTTTTTTCGTTTATGAGTACAGATACAAAGATGCAGCTTTCACATCACTATGCTACATTTTATGAAACTAAAGATGCTACTTTCAGATTTGTCCTAGCCCACTTAGTTCATGAAATACAGTTGAGTTGATCGCTTGACTCTCGGATGAGATGGCTATTTCTTCTTTCTGATAGTTCCTATCTAAGATAAGTTGTACGCATTTTTCAATAGCGTAGATTTCGGCCTTAAGGATGCTGGGGTCTTGGTTATCCTTATAACTTTTTGAAAAGGTCCCATAAAAATTGATCCAGCTCCCAGCGAAAATCTAGTTACGCCACTGAAAACTATTTGAAAAACTCTATGAGTCTCAGTTTTCACCTTTTCAGATAAAGATAACCGAGATACGAAGGGGGTCGAAAATTTTTTTAAAATTCACCCTGTATTTCTGGAACTAAGAGAGTTAGGACAAAGCTGTGTGTAGCATATTTAGTTTTCTGAAAAAGTAGCAAAGTAAATATGTATAGTGAACTTGAATCTACTCATAAAAGAAAAATCTTGCAAAAAACATGAAAATGGGACACCCTGTGCTAAGGGTATTGACTGTACTCACGCACTGTATTGAGCCCACCCTGTATATTTTTGTTATAGCTTTACAATGTAAAATATTTCTTATAATTAATATCAAAATTAAAAAAACT